TGGACTTGTTTTCATTGTCTTTAACTTCAAGTTGAATTTGCATATGAGCAGTTGATGGTCTGTTCCACAATTAGTTGTGTATCAACTTGGCTGGGCCTGGTTTTGACTGGCTGGGCAGCTTGATGTAATTATTTCTCATGATGAGATTGGTAATCAACTCCAGGGTGGAATCTACTGGAGCAGCTGAGTAGCTGCCTTAGGGATGTGGGCTACTTCCAGTAGATAAGCAGCAGCTTTGAGGAAGGTCTCCAGCTTTTGGCACACTTGAACCCTGCATGTAGCTGAGTCATTGTTCAGCAGCCTGCCATGTTGTCTGCCGATCTTGGAGACTATTAATGGGTTTAAGTTAGTAGCTGGCTGTGTGTGTGTTGATAATTTGGGGATCATATCATTTTACTTATTGAACCTGGGCTTGTGAGCCTCAGCAGCCAGCAGCTGCCTAAGAGAAGCCTCCAGCTTTAGTGGACCAGGAACAAGAGGCAAAACTGAAGCCCAAGGTCAAGGGGCTTTCACCCAGCCCCTAGAGCTGGCACTATGAACTCAGACTTCTAGCCTCCTAAACTCTGTACCATCCTCACAATCCCTGCTATACTTGAGCCCATCACTGTAGTCACTATAGTATCAACTATTTAATTAGTGAGTGTATTATGAATTTGATATCTGGGCTTCTTTTGCTGGCCATCCAGAACATTATTATAGTTTAAAATATGTTACTATTTTAAGCGACTGGGATCTTAAAAGCTTGCAAGTCGCCATCTAGATGCAGTGATGGGTCTCTCCTTGTCTAGAGCAAAGAAGAATGAAGAAAATCAAAGATGCATGGAAACAATTAGTCCAAGCTACTGGTAAACCATGCGATCCTCAGCCTATATGACTATGAGACCAGAAGAACTAGATGGTGCCCGGCTACCACTGTCAACCACTCGGAGGGGGATCCATGTAGGAGATACTGGATAGAGTGGGGACAACAATGTGGAACAAAACTCAAAATCATGGGGGGGAAAAAAGGGACTAGGTTTGCTGGTCTGATGGAACCACTGACACTATGGCCCCTAGCTGCCCTTCAGGTCTAGGAATTGAACCTACTCCTGTGGCTTCTACCCAAACAAAAGACAGGCATATGAGTTGAACATTTACACTAGGTAGATACACTCCTTGAAGAGAACAATCAGGTGAGAATAGAAGGGCTGTGTATGCACCGGGAGACAGCTCAGGGGGCAGGAGTGCATGGAGGGAAGAACAGGGAAGACGTAACTGTAGGGAGGAAGTGGGAGGGAAGCTGTAGCACTGCGGGAAACTGCAGTCAATGTCATGAGACAAACTGTATGTGAGCTGCTGTGTGCAAAGTGAATTTGCTCTGTAAACTTTCACCCAAACCACAATTAAAAAAAAAAAAAAAAGTTACTATTTTAAAAAACAAAGATGTCACTTTGAGGAGTAAAGTGCTCCTGACCAAAGCCATGGTGTTCTCAATCACCTCATAAGCATGTGGAAGCTGACAATGGAAAAAGAGCACCAAAGAAGAACTGACATACGGAGTTGTGGTCCTGGCAGAGAATTCTGAATATCCATAGACTGCCAAAAGAAAGAACAAACTAGTCTTGGAGGACGCATAGCTCAAATGCTCTTTAGAAGTGAGCATGGCAAGACTTTGCCTCACGTACTATGGACAGGTTATCAGGAGGGACCAAACCTCAGTGGAGGACGTCAACCTTAGTAAAGTAGAATGTTGTTGTTGTTAGGTGCCGTTGAGTTGTCTCTGACTCACAGCAACCCTATGCACAGCAGAATGAAACACCCCCCAGTCCTGAGCCAGCTCCATAATACCTGCTACACTTGAGCCCATCACCACAGCCACCAGGTCAATCCATCTTGTTGCGGGCCTTCCCCTCTTTCATCAACCCTCCACCTAACCAAGCATGACATCCTTCTCCAGGAAACGGTTCTTTCTGACAACATGACCAAAGTATGTGAGATGAAGTTTGGCCATTTTCGCCTCTAAGGAATATCCTGGCTGCACTTCCTCCAGGGCAGACCTGTTAGTTCTTTTAGCAGTCCACAGTACTTCA